AAGTGAAGATATCATGTGAACAAAGGATTTACCCAGCTCCAGAGCTCTCAGAAAATCAATTTATATTTAAGACCTTAGATTAATGTAGTCTTGCCCTTTTATAATAGATATTCCAACGCTTTCTACAAAATTCTCATTAGTTAGAAACTGTATAAAATATTACTGAAATATTAGAAAACAACTTGATTGAGCCCAGCTGCTGCATGGAAAATTAAGCATACCCTGCGCGAGAGTATGAAAAGTAAGTCAAAGATTTTTTCTCGCCACTGTTTGCCAGGGGAATACCCTGCATAATAAGTTATCCAGCGACACTAGCTAACAAGGCAGCATAAAACATTGTGCAAATTGTATTTTTGGCTGAAAGAATATAAATATAAGTTATAAATATTTAATATGATCTCAAGTAAAAAGTATATATGCAATATAAATGGTCTTCCTCATGGCTCGCATTGAGATGCCCTCGAATCCGCTTTCCGGCCTTCGCAACGAGCATAGGGTATAGTAAGTATAATAACTGGCTACCGCAACTGCTGCGCTCTTTCTGGCCACAGCGCTCACAAAATATAAGAATTTAGTGTAATGTAGTTTTTATTGCATTTTCATGAGTGGAATGCGTAGCGCGGCATTAAATCTACATACTCGCATCTGTTGACTCGCCCCGTGCCGGATTCGTTCACACAGCAGCATATTTTGTCTCAGGTAAGCTGCTTAGCTCCGCCTCCAGCCCATCTTCTTTTGAAAAATATGAATTAGTAATTCCTCCTTTTCCGTGCGAATCTTTCACAATGTATTTTTAATGTACACATCAGAGCAGAGCTGAAACAATGCGTAGAGTTAAGTTCAGTAATCGAAAGCTCTTTGTGCCACACGACAAAATAGGAACTGCATATTGGTTGATGTTTTTGTCAGTTGCATCCATCTGTTGACTAAAATATACCCTTTAAATACAGAAAACATAAAAGATACAAAATAAGCATTAGAAGAAGATAAGTATTAGACACTTCGAGCGTATATATTTTTGGTACGGCGGAGTCATTTTAAGATTCACTCTACTCAATTAGTAGCTAAGCCCATGTAAGTCTGTTTTTAAAAAATAGAAAGCCACGGCCGAGTACAATCGACTGCATAATACTCGTTCAACCAGCAATAGCAGCTACACTTATTATTTAAACCCACTTGACCCAATGGGCAAACAACAATTTGGCTAAATCGACTCAGCTCGTGGTACTGATTAAGCATATACATACTTTATGGGGTCTGCCACGTATCTATCATAAAATCCTGAGTTTACATATTAAATGAGTTTAAGGTTTTTTATTATTAAGTGTAGAGCCTGTACAATTAAATTTAGTACCTTAACAACACATGTATATATATGGAATTAGAGCCAAGCCACAGTCACATTATGAGGAATTAAAAGAAGATAGTTTACAGCATTCCCATCGTTTTGGCAAAGCCTTGTCGTTTAAGGTATTACAAAATTCTCGAATTGTATAGCATAATTGTAGAAACTAGGAAAAATGTTGCCTACTTTCAGGAATCTCGATTTATTAATATCGCTCAGTGGGCCTTGCAAACCAGCTCGCAGCTTATCAGACGAAGGCTGAATAGGTTTTTCTTCTACATCTTCTGAATCACAGGCAAAGCTAAAGCACTAGTAGAACAGATTAGAATAAGCAAGAAATAAGTCCAGACTTAAGATGTTTATGCAGACCTAGAGACCCACTCACTAGTTACGGCTCAGAGCGAAATGCGCTGTAGACTCAAAGACAATAGTGGTAAAATAAACCCATCTCAAGTCTTGCATAAGAATTTCTTTCCAGTTGGTATTTGACTGTGAGTCCACTAGGAATAGACGCACCTAAACAAGTGTCTGCTGCTAGTTTGAGTGTTCTTTAAGCAAAACTATAGACTAGGGACTGTGCGGGACTGGTGATAGTTTTTATGTATTTGTGGCAGTCGCATTGTGCTGCCTGAACTTTTTGACAGAGTCAAAATGTATTAAACAAAAGCAAACAGAGGCAGCGACAATGAATTGCTGCATCCAAATGGTTCGGTTCGCCTGCTTCTTTTTAAATTTTCATAAAACTTTTGCTCGTTTGCCGCTAATAAATTATTTTGCAGAAAGTTTTCACCGAAGGCGACACACCGATGTGGCGGCCACTAAGCTGTCCACAGAAGGGACCCAGCCTCCGCCCCAACACCAGCTCTCGCGCCAACTCCAACTCCAACTTCGACCCCAACTCCAACGCCAACTCTGGCGCTGACTATGACATGGATTCCAATTGCGACTACAAGTCCGAGTGCATATTGCTCCAAGTATTAGTACACGGGTCGTACACTAACTGAACGACTATTATAACGCTCGTTTGCGCCTCTTTGTTGTCCTCGGTGTTTGTTATTCCTGTGTGCTCGCTTTGTTCATAAATAATTTGCGCCACAACTCAATTTCATGAGCGTAAATCACAGTGTGGTCACTTGGTACTCTCCATTGGATTGGGCTCCGGCTTGTGCTTGCTTGGCCATTGGTTTGTGGGGCTTTGGGTTCGTGGCCCGTGGCCCGTGGCCTGTGGCCCGTACCCAACTCCGCTTTTTGACTGTCAATGCTGTTTATTGTTTCACTTCTTCTTTTCAAATAATTTTTCAACTTTTTCTATTTTTTGGTTCGTTGTTAGTGGCCATTTATCATACAATTCTTTATTTATGTCTGCCGACCGAGGCAACAACAAGCCATAAGTTCCCAGCTCTCAGCTCTAAACTTCTTTGTGTGCCGCAAAACTTTTTTGCCAAGCGCCTTGAGGGAGTCCGACCGAATCAACCGAACAAAAGGGAGGTCCACTGATAGTCCGGGGCTCGCTTTGTGCCTCTGTTGTTTGGCATGCGAGTGTTAAATCAACACAAAGTTCCGCCAACTTTTCAATTGGTTTGACAAATATAATGAAATTTACAACATCCCATCGAATATGGGTCGGCGGCATAAGATGACCAACAACAAAAAGAAAAAGCCGCCCCACCAGTGGTGCATATAACGAACAGAGGGACAAAAACCAAATTGACACCAATCTATGCACTAAAATCGTAGCCCATGTCATGAATCACAAGTTGTAACTTTGCTGCTGTTCGAGCCCAGTCAATTTGTAGCTGTATCAATTATACCTATCAATGTGAACTAGGGTATCTTCTTGTTGAGCATTCTGCCGACGACATAACTCTCTTTTGATGCCCACTGATGATGCAATTGGAACGACAAATGTTCTTATTTCACTTGACTTCCAACTCTATGGACTTAGTTTCTCTTATTTACTTACTCTTATTTGTGCCCTTTACTTACTGCCCAGATCGAGTCTGAATATTGCAAACTGGTGTGATCTGATGTGTTGGAAAAAGTGATAATAAATAATAAATAATATATCTAAATATCTCTTTAAACACACGATTTTTAATAAGCCCAATGGAAATCATGTCAAAACATTTTCGAATGAAGGAATATCGAGCGATAGCCCAGCTTCTTCTACTTGACTCTGAGATCGGGCAAAGAATAGCCGAGCCGAGCTAGAGTCTTGCAAAAGTCTGCTTAAAAGATATTACCTTGAAGCTACATCTATGCCGCAATTTATAAAAATTTCTGCGTTTCGAGCGCCAGCAAGAATTGCGAATGATTTAAGACGAGGTCTTTAAGCCTGGCAATATGTTGGCCTCGGCCACTTGATGAGCCGCCAATGCTGTTCTTCTGTCAGCAACAATTGATTCAGAATCATGAACAACATCTTCTGATAATCAACAACTTATGCAGCTGCTTCATTATAGCTATATTAAATAGCAGCACTATTGCTGAACCATCGCATCTAAGTTCCTTTAGCCAAATTTTACTTTTAGCACTAAGCTCGAGTTTCGGCTTTGGCCCCATTTTTCTATCACAAATATGTTTCTATGTGCTGCAGGTTGTTCTAAGCTTTCATATATAGACTTCCAAATTCAGTTCCATTGTAACTTCATGTGTTTCTATCACAGGGCACAGAGTTGTAGTTCATCAGAGTCTGAGTCATTCTCACTCGCATTTTAGAATTTGTATGCAAATGCGCAAAGTTTCCATCTCTCAAGCGCATCTCCTCCGATATATGTTATTGTTCTATAGTACTTTTTAGTATGCCCATCAATAGAATATTATTTGAAGTGAAAAGCTATTGTAATTACTATGATTAAAACCCGTTTCTAAATGCACTCAGCTGTTACATGATGTCACGTTTCGGTTTGCAATTCAGTAAAAGTGTAAATACTAACCGCAAAAATTAATTTAAAAATGAAAAGCAATTCTAGATTTGATTTTCCCATCTGACACAATTCCAAATAGCTAGACGTGCTCTAATATATTTTATAAATTTATATTTATATTTTACATATCAAGTCTATAGCTTTTGGATAGCTCGGGAAACTTCTGATTCCATTAAATACATATAAGTTCAGTACAAATTAACATACCTCGCGATTCCCAGAATTTTATTTATGTATCTGAATGCTGTAGTAGCTGAGTGCAGCTAGTCATGTTAGTCGAGGCTATCTGCTATAGACTGCAAGAATGAAACATATACAAGTTATATATGATCCAAGAAGTAAACACCCATTCCAATTCAGTCCATACATATAGAAGAGTTATTTCTGCAAAACGTCGCTTCGTCTCGCCTCTCACTCTTATATATCTTAACACATGCGAGCATTGCTAGAGACATCAACAGGCCTCCATGTAGACTTAAACACCTTATCAGACCCAGACTCCACTGCACACTCTAGACGTTTCCTTCGGCACAGGCGATTTCTCACTCATGTAAAAAAGCCCTGTTAAAATTGACATAAGAATAAATACTGCCACAAATTGATATATTCAATATTGGATCACAAAGCTCCCATTCTTTTCGCATTATTCAATATCCCAAATATTCGATACAAAGTGAACTTTACTCAATACAAAACATTTAATACAAATATAGAGTGAAGCAACTATTTATTGTGCAATCTAGCTCCACACAGAATATATTTTAAGAGTATTTAGACATTCTTAACTTAGATATGCAAGGCTGGGGCTACGTCCGCTTTTTGGGTCTGATTAGCATGCGTACATACCGCAAGGAGCCTTCGGGACCGGGCTCAATGTGGTCCCACAAGATGCCCTTATGAAAACCGATCTTTCGGCTATACTTGGGCTGGAACGTGCCAAACAAATTACTAAAAGAAACATATATATATATATATAGATATAATACATATAAGTCTAATTGAAGATGGACCTACCAGTGAATACAATTGAGGCCATACCACCAGGCACCCGCATGAATGCCAGCACAGTTCTGTCCGTTGTCGTCGTTGTCCTGGTCGAAGGTGGTGAACTTATTGCCAGCGTGATGTTGCAGCGCGTTGCCAGCATTTCCCTTGTAGGAGCCCAGCACATAGAGGAAATACTTCTCGGCCTCGCTGCCAATGCTGAACTGATCATAGATCGCAAAATACTCGTCCTTCTCATTGCGCATTTTGATGAGCAGCTCGTGATCGTCCCTGTTGGTCAGCCGATGCAGCTTCTCCAAGCCAATAAAGAACTCCGAGTTCAGCGAGCCGAAGCCGGTCTTATACGTATGCCAGTCCCGATAGAAGTCCTCGCTGCCATCGAAGCGATAGGCGATCACTAGCCAGCCGCCGTTATGCCCCTGCTGATCGCAATTCACATAGAAGGGTTCCACATCAGGAGCGATTCGGATGCGCACCTGGCCATGCTTCTGGTTGATGCAGTTGCGAGGTGTATCGTCCACTTCCCTGGCCACATTTGGCACGAGCGGCTGAAATGACATGCTAATGGGATAGTCTGAATCAACACATGAGAACAACAAAATGTACTAGGAATAAAAAAATGAAATTGATATCTTATCGAGTCTCGATAAGCTCTTTCTAAGCTAAATAAATCTCAGCTCGATCACATGAAACTACGAAATGTTCTATCTGTGTATTTATATAAGCCAGAAGAACTCAGTTAGATGAACGAAGTCGATGCCTACGGCAGATTGTGCTTGTTGTTGTTCCACGAAAATTCTTTTCCTCACAAACAACTTGGTCTAAGCCGTAGGCATAAAGCAAGTTGAATCAATAATTGTTCATAGGAACAATTGCCTGAAAAGAATTTAGGCAAAGAAAACGCTGGAATTTTCAATTGGAATCCGATTCAAAATTGTAAGAGTCCTTCGTCAACTTGTACAAAATATCACCTAAAATATTGTATCTATACCATATATAAGTATAGATATTTAAGGCTTCAAGTCTCAGTTAAACCTTATTAAATCGGAACAGATGGACAGACTGACATAGCTATATGTCATATATTATATTTCAGCTCTGCCACGCCTCTTGCTACCTGAAGTAATAGGAAAATATATAGTGCATTGTGTATATACTTTTGACTATGACTGTTGATACATGCACACAGCAATGTGATCCTTGTATAAACATATCTAAATATGTTTTAAAAATATTATTTGAAATTTATAAAACCTAAAGGCATCGACTATTTTCTATAGTTTGGATGCCATAAAGAGTTGCGAGCTATGCGTTGAAGTTGTGTTTTGGATGGCACAAGTCTTCCACGTCTTCCAGGTGTCCTTCGAGATTATCTAAGTGAATACATTGGCATATCGTGTCACCTGGCTAAACTATATAAATCACAGCCTATAGGACAACAAACAGACAAGTCAGACATTAATATCTAAGCGCTTACTGAACTAGTTGATTGACTTAACTTACATGCGTGATTCTATGGGCACGGCTGGCACTTGACTCTTGTGCTTCTCGATGAACTGTTGCACTTCGCTGAGATCCGCGCGCAGAGATTGCAGCTCGTCGGCCATGTGCTGAACTCTGAATGAAATCAACTGTGACATAAGCACAATGCTTGGCATGCTCAGACATGACTTACCGCATCAGCAGAGCTCCTAGCACGGCCGCCGGACAGCCGTCGGTGTGCTGCAAAATATGGAATTCAGGAGAATAGGTTCTTCCTAATCGAATCAGCTTGAAATGAACGTACATTGCGATAGGGCTCTATCGAGTTTGTCAAGATGTTTGTGACCACATTTCCGGGCAGCGTCGTCGACGGGGTGCTCAGACAGGTTAAGGCAGTGACCAGGGCTTCCAGAGTCATGCTGCCAGCTGGTAGCAAACGGCGCTGCAGCACGGACTTGATTCTAAGTTTGATGTGTAGGCCAGTAGCTCAGATAGCCAACTGCGACGTAATCGACCCTCAGTTAGTGTGCCACTCGTAGACTAGTTACGAGCCGCATGTGCTCAAGCTCGACTAAACTAACTTCGAAACTAGTTGCGCCGCCGACTGCATATAATTGAATACTCGTTTGCAAAGCGCCCGAGTGCATCTGAATGCAAAGCTTACTGGAAATATAAGCAATGACCTTTGCCGCCACCTCTGGAGAAAATAACAATCAAATAGACTCAACGACGGGAACTTCGAGCTTAGTATAGCCGCGCTGTGCATCTGAACAGGGCCATCATGGCGCAAACACTACAGCTGGATGTGCTGGTCACAATGCTGGCCTGCCTAACCACAACCCAAACCAATGTGAGCGATCCGATGCTGCCCCCCGACAATGTGGTGAGTCAGCTGACCAAACTACTCAAATTCTAGAAATGAGCTTAGATTAAAAGCGACAGTCAAATGCATTCCCCAGCGTGGATAAACAAGGTATTTACACAGCTGCACATATGCTTTAAGGCACAGGTAAACTGGAGTGCTGCTCTATGGATACGCAATTGTTTAAAATATACTGTAGAAATATTTAAAATAATATAAATTGATGCGTATCCTTTACAGACATCGGGAAACTGTCCACTAGCATCGATTAGCAATCTGAACACAAAGATTCAGTCGCTATCCGAAGAGCTGGCCAGTGCCAGACAGCAAATGGGCAGCCTACAAGAGCAATTGGTAGATCTGCTTCGCCGGGCTGTGCCTGTGGCTCCGTTGGACAAGAGCTTTAGCACGCGCATGTAAGCTGTCCGCTTTGAATATCTTAATGAGGCACAGCTCACACTTAATTCTAGTCTTGATGTGAAGCCACAGATAGTGGAGGAGCCTGTTGTGCCGGACGCAGCAGTATCAGCAGCGGCTGCGGGTCTAGGGGAGCCGACCAATGCACCGGGTACGCCGAAGAACTGTCTCAAGCAGCAACACGGCATAGTTCGCATTCGCTTGGCGGATAATACAGAGCCGTTCTTTGTGTTTTGTGATCAAAATACTCGGGGTGGCGGGTGGACGGTTGTGGCGAATCGCAAAGATGGCAGCGAGGACTTCAACCGCAAGTGGGCCGACTACAAGATTGGCTTCGGGCCTCTGACAACCGAGTTTTTCATTGGACTCGAGAAGCTGCACAAGATCACCAACAGCGAAGACAACGAGCTGCTGGTCGTGCTGGAAAACCGTAAGCAGGAGCAACGCTATGCGCTCTACGATCATTTCAGCATTGGCAGCGAGACGGAGCAGTATTATCTGAATGTGCTGGGCACGTATCAGGGAGATGCCTCCGATGCCCTGCGCCAACACTCGGGCAAAAAGTTTACCACCCAAGACAGAGACAATGATGAGAGCAGCGCCAACTGTGCAGTTGCCCAATCGTCAGCCTTCTGGTACAGCAACGTCTGCACTCTGAGGTAAGTTGAATTTCCCTAAATTTTCCTCAAATGCGCATTAGGATTTTAATGTATTCAATGTATTCCGCAGCAATCCCTTCGGCCTTTATCAGCCCCTGCTGGATCGCGATGTGGATGGCTTTAAGGGCATACTATGGCACGGCTTCCTCAATGGCCCCAAGGGCTCACTGAAGAAATTGCGTATGCTTGTGCGTCCACGATCCAGCAGCAGTTGAAGTCCTCTTTGCCATATCCCCGCAATACAATATATTAATAAATAGAAACAAACCTTTATTTTTGGCAGTACACAAAACCCAAAATATAATCATAAATATATGTATATATATATAAAAACACATAATATATAAATTCTTTACTATTTTCCCTTAAAATTTAGTCAAAAAAAAAGTTAACAAGGCAAACATGACTGAGCTCTGGTATATGATAAGCAATATATATATTGTTTGCTTTGCTGGCTCTTATCAAGTCATTCAGTAAGAGGCTAAACCTCATTTAACTTGTCTGCCTCTTCAGTAGTCGTTGTCGTGCGGCTTGTCGTTGTGGTTGTGGGATCCTCGTAGCCCTTGACTACCAGAGCATCGCCAAAGACGGGCTTGAAGAACAACACGAAGCGCGAGTAACGACGTGCAGAGTTCTTGAAAAGAAATTAATTAAGAGTAAATAGAAATTATATATGTATATATAAATCTGCCTAGTTCACGCTGCAAACTGTGTATGAAATGCTCAAGAATCAATGACTCGATTTTATTAATTATCCATAGGATCAAAGGAACAATCATATATATAAGAGACCTCCACTCTCGTAATCGTACTTCACTCGTTCTGCTGTCTTCAATACTAATAACATTTAGAAAAATCTAATTAACCTCCAACTTGAAAATATAAGCTTAAAGATTTTTTAAAATCTGATCAAATTTACAGTCTTAATATATACATATATATATATATATATATATATATATAATTGCAATAAATATTTCAATACATTTTTTTGTAATATTTGTTTGTAAATATTTTGTAATATTTTAATAAATAGTTGTTTTTTTATTTTTTTACAAATATTTTGTAATATTTTGTAATATTTTTTATAAATATTTTACAATATTTTATAGATATTTGAAAATATTTTAAAAATATTTGAAAATATTTTAAAAATATTTGAAAATATTTTAAAAATATTTGAAAATATTTTAAATATATTTGAAAATATTTTAAAAATATTTGAAAATATTTAAAAAAAATTTTGAATATATTTTGATTATTTTTTAATATTTTAAGAACTTTCTTATAAGCATTTAATAATTTTTTAAAGGTTTCGTGGCTTGCTTTCTTATAAACTGTTATAAGTATATAAATTTATAAATTATTTACCAATCTTTTTCGGAAACTTTTAAATATTATTTTTTTCCTAATGCATTTTACTCTCAGAGTTAGACTCGCTTCGTGCAAAGGGCTCTATTCTTCTACGAGAATTAAAAAAACGACTTACCATAATGAGACGGGAGAACGCTTGCGAGACTTGGGTGACCGTGCGGAAAGATTTGGTGAACAACTCGTCGGGCAACTCGAATGAGACGTTGGTGCGGTCCAGTTCCGGCGCGTCGCTTAGGTCTTTGCCACCGGCGCGGGCCCGTCGCTTGGTCTGGTCGAACAGAAGCCACGAAACGAAATCGAGAAAAGAAGAAGAAGAAGAGAGGATTGTGAGTAAGCCGACTTATCAAGGCATGCTACATATTAAACATAACGCAGACAAGGCCAAGGCTAGCGCTGTGTAGACCCCAGGGTTGCATTCAAAAATCGGGTTTTGGTTTCGGTTTCAGTTTCAGTTTAGGTTTTTCGTTTTCATTTAATGTCTGCTTGATACATATGTAAAAAATCGAGTGTTTAATTTATCGTTTTATTTAGTCGAACGTTACATTATTATATATATGCGCCAATATTTACAAACATGAGTACAATGCGTAGCGTAAAATAAACTTAGATATTGCCCTGACGACAAACAATCGGAAGCGTTTAACAAAATTTTGAACTTAAGTCTAGACTACAACGACAAGACAAAAAAAAATCGTACAAAATTTATATGTCAATGAAAGAGTGCGAGCATCAGAGGAAAACTTAGGACAGTTCGCTCCTCCAGAGTGTGTGGCGTGTGTGGTTGTGGGGGTGTGTTCGTGTGTGTGTGTGTGTGTGTGATATACATAAATTAGAAAACCTCAATGCAGAACGGACAAACGAACGATCCAGGCCAGGTTATCCAATTAGCCTGCCAACCAGTAGCCAGGTGCCAGGTAGCCAGTTAGATAGTTGCTCTAATAGCCCGCCTCATCGGAGTCGGGTGCTGGTGTTGTGACGCCAGCTATGCCATTCACACCGCCCGACGACCCCTGCAGTATGGGTCCCGAAAAGCCCAAGAACTTGGACACGATATTTCCCAGGCCGGCGTTGGGATTGCCATTGCCCGACGAGGAACCGCTGAACGCAGTTATGGTCGTCAAGACGCCGGTCGTAAGATCATTGGCAATGTTGCCAATGGAGCGTATCTTTGGCGACACGACGGCCGTGATCAGAGTCTGGAAGTCCTTAATTGGGACCGGGGCCTTAATGTCCCATTGCTTATTCTTCTCAATATTGGAACGATCCAGCTGCTCAATCACGCGTGTCTTTGTGTCTAGAAAGTTATCGATCTTCTGCAAAGGCAAACATTAATCAAAGATGACCACGCCCCATATGGCACTACTTACACCAAACACAAATCCGAGCACGGCATTTTTCGCCTCAAATGTCGCATCGGGCAGTTTTCTTTTGTTGCGCTCAAGCTCGCCGCCGCCTAACACCTCCTAGAATAGAATTATATAAGAGAGAACAGACACTAAAGAGTTTGGCATGTCAACATTCGAGACGCGTTCCCCCTGCTCCTTGCCAAATCAAAGACAATGAAACAGCTCCAAATGCTGTGCCGAGGAGAGCTCAGCTCACTCAGCTCAATGCCGCCTTGGAAATAATCCAGTTAGCGTAAAGGCTTTCACTTTTATAAATGTACATATATATATTAATATATACATCCCATTCTTAATATAGCGAGCTTCATACAAGCCATGTTACACAAAACCAATATACTCTTTTGTAGTTGTGACGCCTATAACAATGACTCAAATTGTGAATAACAAATCTCGTTAGACTTGAACTAATTACGCGCCTGCAAGAAAACCAATTGAAATACATAAATGTGATTACACTTAACACACACACACACCTGAATACAGCCACGCTTAAGCCACTTACGTCTATTCTTAGACCTTACTCTATTGGTATCGACTGGGCTTTGACATCGAGGCAACATTTCGGCATTCAATATAATTATGCTTGTCCATGCTTAAAATTCACAGCGTCATTGGCAGCCAAACGCGAAACACTCAATATGTATGCACTTCTCGACTGTGCCCAGCTCCAAATGGACTCATTTCTAAACAAGACGCATGCGCCAAATAGCCCAAAGTCAAACCGATTGTTGTGGTTGCTGTTGTTGTTGCACGATTAGTTTATAGTGCATTTGGATGTAGAAGCGAGCAGGTAATTAAGCCGTAGAGCTGATGATGTTGGCTTTTTTGAATAGCTAAAACAATAGACAGCAGCGGGGCCCTCATAAGGAGCAAACATTTTAAGTTTGTCTGTCTAAATATCAATGTCAATGGCGTGGAGAGTTGCGTTTATGCAGTTTTAATGATAAGCTGCTGATAGCTCAACTGTTTACCCATATCTCTAACAGTCTAACGTTCGATCTGCACAGGCATATATACATGCCTCCATAACATTTCACCATTAGCTGGAAAACTTCGTTTCTGTTGTAATTCATAATCGATTTGCAAATTAGCTATAAGTGAATATTCGCATAATGTTGTCAATTACTGAAGCACAATTAACAGCGTTGCAGTCGGGTGTAGTCGACTGCGCAATACCCAGCCACCTTGCGTAATCTGACTCTTCGCATTTCTGCAATATTTGTGCAGTGAAATCAAGTATGGAAACAAGATAATATCTTACTCAAGTCAATATCACAGCTCATGCGCCACTGGCAGCAGGTCGAGTCTTTCTTAACAAGCTTATACAGCTATTAGAGGTAAAATCTTATTTATTTAAGTTGCAAATTGTACACAAGAGAGTTTATTCTATCATCAAAATCGAATTCGAATTGAATTTCTCAGACATTAGAGCTCATGAGACAAGACTTTCATAGTTTGCATACCATTTGAATGAGACTGAAAATAGCTGCACCTCTAGCAGGCTGCGCGGTAAGCTTCAGTCGGGCACTCCCGAGTGTAATGCCCGTCGAACAAATTTATCATGTTGACGTAGGTCGCAGCACAATTCATGTGGCTATATATCGCGTTTACGCAAGCTTTCGTTTCCGGTTCAAGGTCACAATTTCGAAACTTGGATTGATAATTGGATTATGCAGTGGCGTAGATCAGATTAAAAACGGATCGGATCGGTTCGGATTGGAGAGGACTGAGTCAACAGTACGACTATGGCGGAAAGACAGTAAAAGCAGCGACGTCAGTCGACCACAAAATTAGCAAGTGCTCAGCTGCTGCTTACACAACAACAACAGCAGCAGTAGCAGCAGCAGCAACAGCAGCAGTAATAGCAACAAAAATAACAAAAGCAAAAGGCGCAACAAAGGGGCTTAACAAGTGACTTTTACGCCTCAGTAGCAACTGCAGCTGCTGCAGCAGCAACAACTGCAGCAGCAGCAGCAGCAGATGGTGGGGCAAAGGAGCCAACAACAAGTTTTGCACCTCTCATGACACAGTCGCTGCTCATGGACTGTTTGCTTCCTAGTTACTGTTTGCTGGTTGGTTGGTGTGTGGTGTTTACTTTACCTCTGCATTGATGGGGTTCAGATCGGCGGGCTCGCTGTTGTCCTGCAGCTCGAGCAGAGCCTCGGCGGGCGCCGATGTCGTCAGCTGTGTTAGGGCCAGCAGCAGCAGCAGCGGCATCATGCAACTCGTGGTAAACTGCATTTTCGTATGCGTTAGCTTTGATTATCCTGTTGCGTTTACAGATCTGACAAACGGAAACAAATAAAACAAAAAAAAGCAGAAAACAAAAGTTAAATAGCGTTCAGAGATATGTATTTGCAGGCGTAACACAGGGCGCATGCGCAATGTCGACGATGTTAGCGACCTTCGGCCGTGGGGGGCCCTCGAAAATGCTTTACACCTCTTACATACATATTATGTACACATATACTCTACACTCTATGGGCACGCACCAACTGAATTGTAGTAACTGAGCTCCGCTAGCCACAATTGGTATGCAAACTGAACAGCAACGAAGCGACGAGACAACGACAACACACAGACAGGCCAAACTTTTGGAGCAGCTGCCGCAGATATGCGATACTAGCACGTTCACTAACTTTAAGCAAATGACTGCAGACGAAAGTTACTTCAATGATTTAGCAGTGGCCAAAAATCGGTTACACAGCCAAAGCGCAGTCGTCGAAGCTTTTGCAGTCGACGTCGGCGTCCGCATAGACCTCATTTGGCCAACAGCCAAAAATACAAACAACAAATATACGTTCGCCTCTCGGCACATGCCTCTGTGTGTGTGTGTGTTCGATCATACACACGAGTGCACCTGCGCATGTGTTGCGTGTGCAGTACATGTGTATGAATGTGGATGTGGAAGACTGAGAAAACCGAATTGAATTTTATTGCGCGCGCGCGCGCGCTCGAGCTCGCATAGGCGTCAATGGCTCGGCAAACGGGGAATATCAGTATTCAAGGCGGCGTCGGCGGCGACGTCAACGGCAACGTCAACAGCAACGGCAACGGCAACGGCAACGGCAACGCTGACGTTGGCGCCGCTGCCAATGGTAGCCGCATTGAAGCTGCGAACACGTTTTGAGCGAAAACTTTAACAAAACAGCTCAATAAAGTGCAAAAGTTGTAATGAGCAGGCTGCAGAAGCAGCAACAGCAGCCGCAGCAGCAACAACAACAGCAACAGCAACTTGAAAGGCTCAAAAACCTCTTTAATTTGTTGCAGTTGTAATTGTTCGCTTGCTACTTGTTTTTTTTCTTTTTTTGCAATGCTCTTTTAATCTGAACTTTTGTTTTTTAATTAAAATACAAACTGGTCATACACACACACACACACACACACACATACATACATACATATGCAGAGCGCTACATTAATTCGTATGCGCAATCGGTTTTTTCACTCCATTCTTTGGCCAAGCGTAGACGATGACCACATAGATCGGCTCACACTTCACTTAACTTTATGCAGAAGCAGCTGAATATAAAAATCATTTGAAGTAAGCTCAAAAGGTCTCAATAATCGTACGATTTATTTGGTAAACTGCACACACCCATAAAAATGGTCATAAAAATGTTTTTGAATAATAACTGAACCCCGACCCCATAAAATAAAATATATATATGTGCTCTCAGCCAGTCTAACGAGCTGAGTCAATTAACTCAAGCCTGCCTCTAGTCAGCCTGATAATTTCTAGAACAAGACAATTTTGGGCTATCGTATATGATCTCAAATTTTTATATATAGTCTACACTCTCATTTCAAGCCAAAAGTCTTTAAAGATACGCTTTCCTAAAGATTTGATGTGTATATAAATAACATATATGCATATAAATATATATATATCATATAATATATATATATATATTTATTGATTCATTTAATATTATTTCATTTTTATATGTTTCTCCTTCACATATTTCAGTTATAGTAAGCTTCCTTTCTCACGTCAACATTAGCATTGGAAAAAAGTATACAAACATATAAAATCAGTTTTTTTAGTCTTACAACTTTGAATCAAAAGAAACTAAATAAATATATTTTAAGTATCAATAAAATTGAATTTATTCGATGGAACATTCAATGACATTAATTTTTAAATACCAGAGCTAGATCGTAGAAGGCCAAATCTAGAATACTTATTTTCACAATCATCACAATCATGACTATCGACGTTTTTGAAGATATATGGACCAATGTGAACTATGCTCTCTCCAAATGCAACCATTCTGCCAATTTACATCACCAGCCAACCAAAAATGGACACGATCAGTTAGATTTGACTAATAGAGCCATTAATTGAATAACTAATTTTAGCAATTTGCAAGCGTTGCTCCAGTGTAATTCGGTCTACAAACCAAATTCAACTAAACGCTATTAAATAAAGAACTGTTGCCAACTCAAATCTGTCAGCAACTAAAAAACCGTCTTTATCATGTTAACATCAAATAGGCATAAGGAACATGTCCTCTATCTTTCTCTACTAAACCCCGACTGCAAAAAAGAAGTTTATAGCACGCAAGCTCGGAAATATGATAGCATAGCATTAATATATATTATAAAAAAAGTCATAATATTTGCTTACAATTTCTCCCTGTGGCATACACTATCTATTCTCTCAGCAATTTTAATCAAAAGTCTTTAAAGATATTTTTCATTTGTTATATGTGTATCTAAATATCATATATATATCTTATAATATGTATATATATTTATTTATTAATTAAATTTTATTTCATTTATATATGAGGCAGTGCTCATTGCACTTGTACTGCAGATGACCTTAAACTGACTTCGATATGTTGAGCAGAGTCAACAAACTTTCGCTTAAGTGGACTGAAGACTGTTTCAAGTAGAAGACAACAGAAGTTCCTCATTTGAATGAACTCTCTTTTTACTCTTTTGATAATCTATGCTTGATAAACTTAGTAAAGTTCTTACGAAATACAGCAATATGTAAATCATTTGCTTTTTATAACTAAAAGTTAAAGTTTTTTAAATAACGTTACCAAACTGAAATGCTAACTGACAGTCGAAGAAACCAATATACTCTTTCTTTTGATTTCGTAAGCGAAGCGAAAGACACAAGATGAAGCGAAAACCATGCGAACTGCTGGTAAAAATCCCCAACAAGTGTCATCGTTTGTAGGTCGCAAGGTCGAACCAGTTGAGAGAGCAGCCAGCTAGTTGTATTCACAATTCAATGTCGATGTCGATGTCGATGTCGATGTCATAGTCGAAGAATCTGTGCTGTGTCCTACGCATGGAGCTATCTGTATCGCTCCTTTTATATTTTAAAAATATATATTTTACTTTTTAAATTGCAAAAGCTAGCAAATAAGACAAGTTTAGATTGCTTGCAAGCACCAAGCCACCAAACAAGTCGATTGTATTGACATTCAAGCTCTGTCAACTGGCTAAAACTTGTTTAGATCGGCTTAGGTATCAGCTGAGACTATGCTCTGGCACAGGTACAAATGGGAACATCTATTGCAATCTAAGCTGCAAGAAGTCAGTCATCAACCGACATTGATTTCGTATGATTCCCAAACTAACTTCGAGAAGAGGACAAAGGTATGCGAAAAGTGTATAACAAAATTTACAGACTTAGCTCGAATATTTCTCGAGACATTAATCGAAAGAATTGATTGCTTAGGAGTTCAGAGTTCAAGTCAGTCGTCGTTTTATTAAAGAATAACTTAAGATAAGATTTTTATTAATTTGCATATCTCAAATATCAAGCACGAGCCATAAAAGTTATAATAGTCTTAATGGTATTTTTGTTTATTATTGTTTGCTCGAATCCTTTTAAGTGTCTGCAGTAAACGAATGGGTTAATGAGCGCTGTATGAAAATTGAAAATTGCTGTCAGTCGGACACCTCAATTATGCAGAATGGCCATAACAACGTGCAGCGCCAGTTAGTTGGCCATCCGAGCTAATGTTGTTAAGTAACCCGAGCTTGGAACTGGGTGTCTGGCCAGCAGCTTGACTGTTGCTTGTTGCTGTTGCCGGTTGCTGTTGCTGGTCGCTGGTTGCTGTTGGTGTTGACGACATGCAAATGGGTCTTAGCACAGGCTGCACATCACAGACACATGTAACACATACTTTTGTTGTTTGTTTTTATACAGTTAATGTAGTCAGCTTAACGCATCTGCACACTCGTCATAGCGACTCGTTGGGGTATTTGACATGGTCAAGACCCCGGCGACGCTGGCAGTTTTAACTGCTGCAACGGCGCGACGTTGTTTTTATGCTTACATCGACATTTCACCGGCTGGCACATAAAACATAATTGCGACTCGGCTGATAAGCGCGTCCTTGCCCACTTAACCCGGCTTTAATAGATGCGTTATGCGTGCGCCAAAAGTTCGTTGCGCAAATGCTAAACGCTCGATGGGTCACTTGTATAATAAAATCATATGAAAACACTATGCAACGTATGTGTGACTGTGTGTATGTGTGTGTGTGTTTGGCGAATGCATATGCATGTTGCCAGTCATCTGCTACACACATTTTAGGGACCCAGTTATGGCGCATTTAATGTGTAGTAGCTGCAACTTGTTCTCCATTCGCTCGTCAACAGCCATAATTTGGCATTGCCCAATGCACTAGTCTCCGCTCGTTGTCTGCTGCTGCTGCTGCTGCTGCTGTGCGACGTACAAAACGATTGTCATTATACATTATTCAGTTGTTTATTAATGTCACATGCTCTCAAGTTCTTTAATGCATTGCGTTATACAAAATACTCAGTTCGGATCAGGGCTGCCGCAGCGAGCGCACAGATCATGATTATCTAACACAGGTCCATTGCCTAACAAGAATTTCAGCTAAAATATATTTAAGAAATTAAGTAATGCCCATAGAGTGCCCAAACCAGGAGAGAGCTCAACATTTTTACAAAATATTTTTGAGATATTCACAATTCAGAAGGTTCTACTTATGGCATGACTTGAGCTTGCAGCAGGTACTTGACAAGCTCATGAATTATCTTAATTATCATCAACAACTGCATGCCTTGCCCATCTGCCATTGGTCAGAACTTAACGCCTTTGTGCAGACAGCTCAAAATCTACTTATGAAAGTGAAATGAATGAAATGATACGTTCTTTAAGCTTAATTCACAAATTCTTTGTTTTATTATTAATTCAAATTTTCTCACATTCTTATAGAGAGCATTAATCAAACATATAATTATAGCTGTAGAGCCACTTTAATATCATAAAGTTAATCTTTTGCTGAGCTCTTTATATAACCATATCAAAGTGTGCCTTGTGCCTTGCTTGTCTCAATCGATGCCTTCACCTGCAAGGGTATCTGATCTTCTGTGTGGCTAGACTAGTTGCTTGTTCTTGTCCCATGAACAATGTGTGCATATTAAAATAGTTAAATGCAAGTCGAGGTCTGGCAGCTGAAGCACTTTTAGCCAGCTTGTTGAAGTCTCTTTGACTTGATTGCATGTATTAGTGTAAGTTTATCTCAAGCCAAACTTGATCTACGTATGACAGAAGCCAATGCCAAATCTCGACTTAATCTTATCAAGAACTTAACTTGCTCTCAAAGCGAATCAAAGTTCA